CTGTGCATTTCTTTATGCCTCGTCTCCACGTCATCTGCTGGCCTCCACGTGGCTTTCTCCAGCCTGTAACAGCCACTGCGAACAAAGCGCGCTGCGGTAGGCGACCGTCAGACATACGCAAAACGTGTCCTAACCAAAGGAGCCTACTGAGCTGGGTTCGATGAGATAGTGAGTTCTTGTTCGAAGCATTCCCAAACACCCGACGACTTACTCCTAAGTTACTAACCGCTCACTCCATCCCACTTGGGCCAGACTACGTAAGAATCGATTTTCGAACATTGCTAAACGACGGGTGTCTTCTACCCGCAAATTCAAGGTCTCAAAACCGTAAAGCAGAACCGATCGTACAGTGGCGCAGCACACGCGAGTTTTCAACTTTAATGACACGTCACGTCGCCGCCACAGGTGTTTTAGTCCTGTGTACGCTGTTCGAGCCTTGGGAATGCGGGCGGTTATCTGCCTTGGTGCGCTACCGTCGTTGGTCACGCAGCTACCTAAGTACGAGAAGCAGTCAACTTCAGCTAATTCCTGACCGTCTAGTTTCAAAACAGAGCTCGGTGACACCCAGTCTTGTGGCATCACTTTGCACTTTGAAGGTGCAAAGCGACTCAACGAAGGTGGTCCAATAGGACCTGCAATTTTGCACTGAGCCACACCAACGGTAACTTGCTGCTATGTGATCGATTTGAGTTAGCGTACCAGTTGAACTGGAGAGTCACGTTGCCGTCCGTCAAGAGCTGTCGGGAGTTGGTGCTTGATAGGAACATATGATGGTCTGCGCAGAACTGAAGTCGATTGCCGTTTTCTGTTCGTTGGCACGGCTGAGTAAAACTACCGCCTAGGCAAGCTTCTGATGCGTTCAGTTTTCCAACCTGCGCGTAGAATTCACCTGCAAGTACAACTATATCGGAACTTCGACATATCCCAATGTGATCGGTGAGTTCATCGTAGAAAGCGTCCTTTTGGGTATCAGAACTGCAAGTGGTCGGTGCTTATGCTGAAACGATGAACGAACACCTGGTGTTGCTTCCCTGATTGAACCCTGGAGACGCACTGCACATAAACGACTTTTGACGGGAATCCAATCGACAAGAGAGGACTCCGCCCTATTACTCAGTACAATACTTACCCCGTGCTAACCCACTGAGCGGGTTTCATCGTCGACTGATGTGCGAAGAACTTATCTCGAAGACAAATCTGGCGCGATCTAGTGGCTTAGCGTAGTACGATCCTGGATGCAAGTCTCAACACGTAGCAAATATTGATCCCTAAGGATTCCATTGTACGTGCCAGACAAACTCGTTGACCTACCTGCATGTGCCCCCAGATTCAGTGATCGGCCAGGCTTTGGAATCTGCAATACGTTTTGAGATACTTTACTTACAGTGCTATTCGGCAACATCCAAGTTGCTTGAGGGACTATTACTGGTCGGAAGAAGGGGAAAATGGAGAGGGCTAGGTGCTGAAAACAAAGTATTAAACAAAAGCTGGGGTATCTGAGCAGTAGCCCATTTACCACTACCCACCACGCTCGATGCAATGGGCAGTGCGGTCCTGATTATCCTGCTCGACGACCGATGCAGTATGAAATTATTTTTATTTTGTGTATGCATCGGGGTTTGATGGACGGGTACTGCTAGGGTGTCCAGCCACTAAGCAGGGCAGTAATCTGAAATCCCTGATCCCAAACCTACCAACAAGAGGCGAATGAATCACAAGCGTACAATGGTTGTGGTAGTCGTCGCCGGCTCGACTGCGTATTGAAGAATTTGGGGCACCTTGAAGGCATGATCCCGTCCGAATGGTATGATCCGATAAACCGGCCTCTAATGGATTGCGATTTACACACCCTGTTGCCCTGTGGGTCAGGATTTGGTTAGCCAAAGGCTTGAATTGTGATATCCCAAAGGAAATTCCCCCGACATAACCTGGAAGTATCACAGCCACCAACAAATCGTGGAGCTGTTTCCTTGCATTGTGCTCTAATTGGCACAGCCTGGAGTCTTACGTGTGCGATATACACTACGTGGAGACGAGGCATGAAGAGTTCCACCAATCAGTGAGTTAGAGGTCCGTAGGTTTTCAGCTAGACATCTAAAAGAACGATTATTTGGGGACAATGAACGGTACGGCAACGAACCCACGGCGTTTCCGTTATCGCTTATTATTAGACCGAGATGCTAGTCGTGTATCCTGTTAAACTGGATATTTTGCGTTGACCATAGAGGTTCACTTTTTCCCAAAAAAAATCGCTCATCCGATGTACATCACCAGTATAGCAGCCAGAGTTTCACTCAAATGTAATATGATGAATGCGTGGAAATAAGCAATTAAAACCGCTAGTAAGCAACTAAGAAAATAGTACTTCTTCCAAAGTTATTAGTGATTTTTCTAGTTTCCCATATTCTCCTTATCATTTTTAAATGGTAGCTTTCAGAACACATTCCTAATTCAACTAATATAATTTCCATTTTCAGTTAATCAACACCTTCACCGACTTAGCCACATGTCTGGTATACTACCCGACCCTTTCTAATGAACTACCTGCATTGTGCCACGTCCCTATTTCTTACCATGAAGTGGTACGATGCCACGACCAGTGAAGTTCGCCTCATGGTATTCCATTGCACGACAATCCCCACATCAAACGTTAATGCTCGGGTCTCACTCGTAAAGAAATTCTCCCTTGGGTAAGCATTGTAAATTGTTTATTCTTTGGCTGCCAGGATCTTCAGCCTAATGTCTGTCCAGTAAATTCCTGCTAGCAATATACTTTTTTCGCCTGCGCTCCGAACACACGATTCATGATTTTCCCACTCACATTCTCGAAAAAATCGTGCACAAGGATCTTCGTAAGAAATCGGTCTACAATTTGCTCGTTGTGCGAACACTACCGGGTTGTCCAGGTCGAAGCCGTTACACCCCTTGAGTGAACCTAGATTTGGTCTAGCCAATCCGCCCTACACGTCTGAAATCGCTATCTGGCAATGATGTAACGTTTCTGCAAGCCAACGAACTTTTATCGGCCCTGGTTGAATACATAAAATACTGTCCCCTCGCCGTTTTTATGATCAAACGCTATACCATTAAATCACACCCCGGAATACCACCCTCGCTCACTCGCACTACTCAGCCTGATTTCGAAAAATCTCCACCGATGAATTCACAAGTGATCTTGATATGACACTGGCAGTGATACCTAAACCGTCAGCTTCATTTTACCTGAATGTTCCCATCACGGCTAGAGAACCGTACATTGACCTGGTCGCAGTGGAACTGCACGGGCACTCTGCACACTGCTTCCGGAGTAAGGCATTAGCAAACACGTTAAACATAAACATGCCCAATGGGTCATAAATACAATTAATCCTGCGAAACATCATACGGGTTCTGGACCACTAAAGATGAGCAAAACTGCAATGTTACAGCCAAGTGCGAGTAGACGCTACTGATCCAAATCCCATTGCCGTTAACCGTTTGTCATCACCAGTAAAACGATACTCGCTTGAACGGAAAAGCAAGACAATAATATTGCTCTATCTGATTAAGAAACCCCTTCAGCGAAATCTCCACTGGAAAGGTTCCCTTTGGATGCTCTTACGTCCTAATGCGAATTCGATCGCTTGCGCCTGCACGGTCCAAAAAGTTCGACGCGGTCACTAATTGGGGACGGATTTGATTCATGAGCCCCCGAGGTTTTATTGGCCCTACATTAGACCCCTGAAAATCACGTAAAAATCTAAAAAAGGTCATTGGGTCGGGTAATCCGAACCCCGGGACACTCCCACCCTTAATCGGTAGTGAAAAGCTGTCGGAAAGTGAGCATTCTAAAAATATCGG